ATTAGCTATGAGGGCAAGTGGGAGCTGTTGGGATTTATACGCCCTGGCATAGCAAATTCCTATCTGGATTAAAGTGACAAATGTTCCTGACGTTTCTGAAATATTTATACTTTATACAATTGGTAAATTCAATGTATTATATTTCGATTCATTATAGAATTGATAGTGTCCATTTGATTACAAGAGATATTTATATATATATATATATATATATATATATATATATATATATATATGTGATGGCAATCAATGCATGATATATAAATAGTAATCGTAAATGGTTCATAGTCGGTAATTATGGATGGACTCATAATTAATTAAGACTTGAACTGGATCCGCGTTAGGTTGAGATATATCGCGAGAGCCGTCGTATGCAATTGCTCCCTATCACCGTCATGGCATTTGACTCTTAAGCATGAGAAAATTATAGACTCTTTTATTAATTAATAATTACTTTGATTTGTTCGGCGGATTCTTCGGGATCCTTAGACCGACACTTTGGGTAGTTATGTAATTAATAGTTAGAGGGTTATATTTTCAATATTTGCATCATTATTACTTGTATTTATTTTGTATTGATTATGATTGATCACAAAGTAAATTCGAAGGCCTTCGTGTGTTTTTAGACAAAATGATTTATTATATATTTATTTATTTAAACTATTATTTTTGTCAAACAAATATTTTATTGTGATCGAGCCAGAAATAATCAAATGTACCAAAATAAATATATTAATTAAGTAATCGGATTAATGGCTTTATTTATCCGATAACTAATTATGCATAGAGGGGTCAAAGTGTAATATTGACTTAGAGGTTATTTATTATTTAATTAGAGTTCAATTAATTTCTTTTAGTGGAGTAGAAATTAATTTATGAATTAATTGAATTGGGTTCATGGACCAGGCCAATTATTAATTCATTGTAGCCAATAAAATAATAGGCCCAATGGATTCTCACTCATAGCCCAACTTGATATTGGAATCATATTAGATTTGAGACATGTGAATTAGAGATTGAGAAGAATTTGTTGTTTCCTTTTCTTTATCTTTATGTTGCCTATAAATATACATGGTCTATGTATATTTTAGTGGGATTTTTGGAAGAAAGAAAAAGGAATCTATTTTCTCTCTCTAGAAAATTAGGGTTTATGGCCTCATCTAATGGAGGCTCCCACAAGCTTAGTTTTCCAAGGTCATTCATGGAGGCTTATAAGTGATTCCTAAAGTCAAAACAATTACCAAGGAGATGGAGATCCAAGGGGAAGACATCTTGCTAAAGGATTTACAATAAGTGAGAACATTCACTTTAGAGGAACGATTTAAAGGTTTACTCAGACCTTTGATGTAAATATTCAATCTGTTACTTGAATGATACATCATATTTTATTTTTTTTGCATAAAACTTGTCTCTATGTGATGAATCAAGATCTATGAATCAAAATCCCTCAAAAAGTTTTTAAATCTAGCACGTTTCCCGACAGAAGGCTTTCATTAAAGAAAGAATATAGCTAATAACTATACACAGGTATATAAAAATAAACAAATTAAGATCACTTATTATCATGTGGCTAGTGAATGTAAAAACCAAGGTAAAAGGAAAAGATTTTTTCTATGTATATATACATATATCTTAATTTAGTATCATAAAACTACCATTAACCTTGACATGTTTGTACCAAGAAGTATAATACTTTACCTTCCACCTAACCTTTTAATTACACAACCACAATGTTTATTCAAAAACAAACTAGGCCCAATGTGGCTATCCTCAACATACCATAACTCACATTAGAGCTCCATCTATGTCCAAACTGTTATAACAGTGAGTCACGTCAGTAGTAAAATTTAGTGTCAAAGATTCACAAATTTATGATGTGAAAATGCAAACAGCATATCGTATGCATATACATATATTGCAAAGCTATCTTTAGACATATGTCTGATTGTGTATAACATATTAATAAAGGCAATCCGTATTTGCAAATTCAAATATAATGTTGTGAAAAGTTTTACTTATCTCATTTGCCCTCAACCGCAATATAAATCTGAATCACGATTTCTTGAGAAACTAGTATGCCTTTCCCACAGACGATGCCAACTGTTGATGCTTGATTTTGTCACGATCCAGACCCGACCACCGTTTCTGCAAGAGAAGAGAGATTGTAACCAAAACCAGCACCGGTGGGGTGCCGGTTGGGTACCCTCCGAAGGTCAAGTCAGTTCTTGAGTTTCAATATTGCATAAATCAATTATACATTAAATTTCACTGTACCTTTCAAGTTGACTCTTCATCTACTTATAGGAGATGGTCATCGTGAGAAACTTTTGGTGATATAAAGAGAGATTTTTGAAAAAGAGATTACCTTATCCTTATCCTTATCCTCATTTGAATTTGAATTTGGCTCTATTTTAACTAGATATTATCTTTATTTGAATGACCTGATCTAGGTTGAATTATTCGATTTGAATTTGAATTGTGTTATTCTTTTTCCCTTATCAGTTAGATATAAATATTTCGATCTGTAATTGCAAACCTTGTTGAGATCGTCGAGAGTTTTTAACAGCGAACTAAGTTGCAACTCCAAATAATAGGCAAGGAAACTGATTTCTTTTTCTTAGCCTTTTGCACATATAAAACTTTATAGGTGTTGTTTCATTAAGTATATAATTGATGGGATATATACATTTTTATAAAGGCAGGGAGAAGAAGGAAAGCACTTCCTAAATAATTAATTACCAAAAAGGTAATTAATAAGTTGACTAGTAATTAATTAAATATATCACGTGTACAAATCATGTTGCCACACAATTAATAAATAATCTTACATTAATAACTTTGATAAACTTTGAAATACATTTTTCTTAGCAATACTATTTATGGTTGTGTCACGTTGATAATCATGAAATTATTAAGGGTTAAGTGCAAAAAACTTTCTTTACTATCGATATAGTACAAAATAGTCATGTGTAATGTAAAACACCCCTATATTATTGATTTGACGCAAATAACCCTTGGAGACTTAAAATGACGATAATACTCTCATTCCAGTAGAATGAACTAATAAGTATAAATACAAGCCATATAAAATGATCATTTTGTTCAATTTATGCAGGATTTTGTTTGTTTGGGATAAGAATAAAATAAATCTCATTTTGTCCAAGAATGGAATAAGTTAAACAAACAACCCTAAAATCATATATAATAAAACCCAAATCAAATAGTCCCAAAATATATAATACACCCTTAACTTTTCTTTCCTTTCCAAAAAAAATAATAATAATTTTCATTCTTTCCAAAAAAAATTAATTTTCATTTCTTCCAATTTTATCTTACTAGTTCTTGATAATTCTTGCATTTAAAGGGAGAATAAATGAAAAGAGGAAAGACAAAGGACATATTGACATAGATAGATGGATAGAGAGAGGAAAAAAAAAAAAGGGGTGAAAATTTGGTTGATTTCTCTTCCCATCTTAATCTTGTTCTTTTTATTGTTACAATTTGGGAGTTTGAATCCTTTATGCATGAATAATAAATTAATAATAAAGGAATCAAGTCCGAATCTTCCATCGATCGAATGCTAGAGAAACCCAGATCCAATATCACTATCATCTCTTCCTTCTCCACCTTCTCCAATATAACTACCGCACCCCTTGCACTATCTCCGGCCAATACTTCGGCATCTTCTACAACAACACCGTCCCCAGCGTCGCCCCATCCTCGCCGTCGAATTCGACACTGGCCTGAACCCAAAATTCAATAACCCAGATAACAATACATCAGAATCCTGAACAACATCACATGGCTGGATTGAATTTTAGATCACTGTATTGTATTTTCTATAGGATCAGAATAAATTCAAGCCTGTATTTTCTATATTTATGTCAAGAATTAGTCAATGGTAATTTCTATAGAAAATTGTTTAATTTTATGCATTAGAAAAAAGAAAAAAGCAATGCATTAATCCATGGGGAAGTTGAATTTAGGGGTTGATAAATACGGAAGAGTTTGTTGAGAACGAAAGAGAAACGTGAAAAATGATACTGTATAGATTTTAAGAAAAAGGGTTGGGGGCAAAATAGGAATAAAAATGATAAAATTGGATTCCCACGAAATGTGCATTTTAAAAAAAACAGAGGAAAGTATTTTTCACATAACCTATATTATAGGAAAGTTTTTGCACTTAACCCAATTATCAAATAGAAAAATACCATTTTTTAAAACATACTCTTGTGTTTTAATTTCTATGAAATCATTGAATTCTTTTTTCGCATAAATTTCTATTACAAATTTTCAAATTTTAGAGTCTACGATTAATTCCAGAAGACTCTTTATTCATTAGGTCACCCATGTAAGTATAGCAGTTTAACATATTAGAGTCTTTAAATAATAATTAGCATTTGCAAACCACAAGATGCAATGGAGTGGGATTCGAGTCACAGATTGGAGCACTATAAAATGTTTAGGTTGTCATTAATGAGAATGAGGGTTTAAGGTTAAGACATGTAAACGAATTGAATTAGAAACAGATTAAGTTTGATATTCGATAATATTATTGGTTATCTGACCCAATTAACTTGATATTAATGGATTATTATATATTATATTATTTTCGATTGGAATATTTTCGAATTGGATCTACCAAAAACCTTATTTAGTTAATACAAGTCATAACAAAGTTATCGAATTAGATTCGTCAAGGACGGTCAACGTTTTGTGTTAAGAATATGAATTTACGAATCAGGAGTTAATTCGGCAGAAATTCGCGAACTCATAGAGGGGAGGCTTGGCTGTTTTGATTTTAAGTGATATATGTTGGGTTTATTAGCAATTTAGCATATATAATTAGTTGCAGACCAGTCACAAGCCCGTGTTCTTGCATTAAATGATAAAGCAGTAATTTTGAATACTTCTATAATAAGAATAACAAATTATAATATTTAATAAATAAAAATGATAAGTGACATAAATTTATGTCTTACTGATATTTAAACTATATCTTCTTTTTTCGGGAATTCAATATAATAATTGTATAAATTAGAAATGAGTACAAGAGTCCAGTTAATGGAGATTATAGAGGCAATAACGTATCTTGAATTTATATAACATATCTATTTGTGAGGTACACACGGTTTGATTCAATATAGTTATAACCAAATTAATTTCAATAGTTGTTAAAAATTTAGAACCAAAATCGAAATGTTGAACTTTGGAATCGAACCAAACTGAATCATAAAGACCGGTTTGGTTCGATTCTGAACCATAGTTGCTTTTTCTACTTTTATTTTTTACCTTCAAAAAAAGACTCAATAACTCACTTCAAACCACATAAATTTATCTTATCAAAGTAAATATAAGTTTCTTTCTTCAACAAATAGGGCAAATAATATATTATTGTGTACTTTGTCTGAAGTTTTATCTACATAAGTTATATTATTGTTTATTATTATCTTAACATATATATGTGTGTGTATCTTTAGTTTACGGCTCGGTTTGGTTTAATGGATTTGAAATCGAAACCAAAACCAAAACCAAAACCGTAAACAAAGGTTTCTTATTTTGGAACCGAAATCAAAACCGAATTAAAGTGACAGTTCGATTTCTACCATTTCTACAATTCCAACTATTTTTTGTTCACTCTATCTATTTGTGTGTATGTAATATTTATGCATAGATAAGAATATTAACACAAAATAAATATGTGACTAATTATTAATATTAAAAAGTTAAATTGAAAAGTCGTCACAAATAGAGGTAGTGCAAGTGAACAAGATTGATAGATTAATTATTAATATTAAAAATTTAAATCGAAAAGTTTTTTTTTTTGGTTGAATATTTAAATCAAAAAGTTGGTAGACAGAAATAGAGATAGTACAGGTGAACAAGATTGAAGAAGTTGACCAACCTATGCGATCCAACAAAAAGCATCTCATCCAAAGAAAAAAACATGAACTCTTTTTACTCCGGACATCACGGGCTAGTGTTCTTCACCGAAAACTGCACAAATAATCACCATTAACGGTTAATCAATCCGTTAATTGCGGTTATTTGCTTTTATTAATTGTATTGGGCTTGTTCCTTGTTTGCTCCTATTCGACTTCTTTTGTTTCAGTAATGGACTTTGTCAAAGGCCCAAACTGTAATATAATTTATTGAGGCAAATGATTTTATTTTTGCACTTGCAGTGCTCATTTATTTATGTTTTCGAAGGAAAAAAAAAAAAAAAGGGATTGAAATTTCATTCAAATAGAGGTTGATGATGATCTCCCATTACATGACTTGAAGAATTATATCAAAAGTAACTTAGGAAAAACAAAAATTATATCAAAATTACAATGAAACAACCTCTAGAAATTGTAAGCTATGTGCGGACATTAAAAAATACGAGTACTCCAAAAACTTTTTTATTATGTCTTCCAAAAAAATAAATAATAATGTTAAATAAAAATAAAAAATTGAAAAGTTCTTCAACAATCCATGTTTAAACATAGTCATGGAGACCAAAAATGATATTAAAACTTTGGTGACATAAAAATCAGCCCCTAACACATTAAAATAGTATTTTGCATTGTCTAAGACTCTAAGAATATAATTATTTTTTTATTGACAATAATAATCACAGACCTACTCACACACATAACTATTAAGCTAAATTTCCTTTGGTTAAGAACATAAACAATTGAACTTTAAATTCTTGTAATTTTGATTCTTTTGGATTTGCGCCAACTTATTAACGTCAAACACACACACACACACACACATATATATATATAGAATAGTGTGAAACATATATATGTGTGTGTGTTTGTATGTATGGTTAATTTTTATTTGAAATATATATGATAAAATAAGAATGTTCAAACACCCCCTTTTCTTATAAGAATAATGTCCTTTCTTAATTATTTTGTCATAGCACTAAAAATATGTAACAATTTTTCAATTCGAATGATAGGTAACTTAGCCTATATATACACCCCCTTAGTTTATAACTTTGATAAACTTTTTACTAAATCATACCAAACAAGTAAGGAAATAGTTCATTATTTTTATTGTTTGCACATAGGAATTAATTATTATTGTTCATCGGCCGGAATACAACATTGTTGATATTCTATGGTAACTAAGTTCATTATTTTTCTTGATATGAAATATATATATATATATATATATATATATATATAGAGAGAGAGAGAGAGAGAGAGAGAGAGAGAGAGGAGAATAACTACATTAGCCATTCGTCTTTTAATATATATATATATATATATATATTATTCAAAGACAAAATTAAAAAAGTAAATTAATATTCAACCTATATCTCTTTTATTCAAAGGAAAATTTCTTTTTTTCGGAAATTCATAAGTACGGGAGTCGCCAATTGAACTTATAGGCCTAATACTGAAAAGGCCAACAAAAGCAAGAGGCCTAATGCATATGAAAGCATTCAATCCAGCTAAAATTCAACAGCCTAAGAAGGTAACAAGGTATCTTGAAATTCCATAGCATATCTATGTGTGTAATATATAATTGTATACTTACAGTAAATGTAACGATTAAATTTCATTAAACAGGAGTTGTTGTCCCATTAAATGAGTTGAAGAATATATACATACTTTGTGTGTCCCATTTTATTTATCCTTCCTAGAAACCTAACCTATTGGAGTAAGATAGTGATTTCGATATTGAATGAGTTGTCAAATATATCTAATCCATAATTATTGGAACAACTGTTTTGGTGGACAACGAGGAATATATATATATATATATATATATAAATACCAAAATTAGAATAAAACAACACAAGTTTGATAATCCATGTTTAAACAAGTTCATGGGGACCAAAAATAATTTTTAAAGAATGCCTTGTAACATATAAATCAACCCTAACACCCATTACAATTTTGATTTTTGATAAGAATGTGACTTATGAAAAGTCCAATAAATTATAGGAAAAATAAAATTGCGAGTACAATATGAATATTTTATTCATTAGCTTCAATTTTTATATTTTATCATATAAATATAAATAAATATATATATTAATTAGTATTTTATAATATTCAAATTCGATGTTAAATAAGCATAGGTTGGGTCAAAACATAATCGACATTATAACAAACTGGATAGCATTTGTTTGGATTGTTACTAACTTTAAGCTAATACTCAGTCTTGTATTGTGATTGTGAATCATTATTTATTTTGGATATTTGGATAACGTTTAAGTTAATCTTATCTCTAAATCATTATTCTTTTTTTTCATATATATATATATATATACACACACCATCGTATCACTTCATCAAAAGCTGAACTTGGTGAGATCTATGGCTTCAAAGGCGGTGATTGTGTTTTTGTTTCTTGTTTCATGTTTTTTTTCTGTGTCTTTTGCTGATGAGGTTAAAGTCACGATTAAATCGGTGACAACGATAGCCAAAACCGATCCAAATTTTATTTGCGCAACCTTAGACTGGTGGCCTAGTGATAAGTGTGACTACAATCAATGTCCATGGGGCAAGGCCGGCCTTCTCAATCTGGTATAGTATATATATATATATACACTAGTGTGTCAAATTTTTTTTTTTTGGTAGTTTGTGTGTGTATATATATATAATTAAATTGAACTTCAATAATTTGGTACTTTTGTCTCAATTTCATATTTATGTTTATATAATGCTGGCAGGATTTGGGAAACAAGATTCTTTTCAATGCTGTCAAGGGTGAGCTCATATACTTAATTTATTATACTTGTACCTTATATTTGATATTTGATATTTGATATTTGATTTATAGATGTATGCTATTGATGAGCTTTATAATAAAGCCGGCCAGCATGTGGGTGTATGAATTTCTTGCCAAGATATAAATAATAATAATAATAATGAGCTGTTCTATTGAATTTTTGTTTTTTGTTTTTTTTAACAAATATCCCAAACTATTTAAGAAGCTGTTATAGAATTTGTGCAATAATTCGTTTTTTTAATTTTTTTTTTCCTAAAAAAAAGATTTTAAAAAATGGTTTACAAATATCTTTAGAATACTACAATTTTAAGGGAAGAGGACTTAAGAATTTATGAATAATTACTTCCTTATTTTTTTGGAGTTTCTATAATAATCTAATAAATTAATTATTAGATAATTGCATGCCTAAACACTAAGCTGTATAAGTATTTACAAATATATATCTATAAATTTGTGTGTGTGTGTGTGTGTGTGTATATATCAAATAATTTTATTTTTAATTTTTTTGTAGTATGGATGTGTTAAATATCAATTAGATTAATATATAATGGAATTAAATTATTTCTTTCTAATCAAAAAGCATTAAAATCAAGGAATCTTACTAGGCAATCCAACCTTTTTTATTTTTCCTAATTTGGTAGAATTTACTCTGATTTATGATGTTATATACTAAATCATTACAATTTTTAAAAGCTAGCTTAACTGTTTGTTTTTAATTAAATTTGCAGCATTTGGTCCAATGAGAATCAGAATTGGAGGTTCATTGCAAGATCAGCTCACCTACAATGTTGGACCAGCTGCAGGTGAATGCCCACAATTCAAAAAAAAGGACGATGGTTTGTTCAAATTTACTAATGGTTGCCTCGAGATGAAAAGATGGGATCAAATCATGGACTTTCTCAACAAAACCGGGTATATATATATATATATATTACACTCACACATCTTTTTTCTTTTCTTTTTTCTTAATTTTTCTAAGTGTGTGTATATAATGTGTTTTTGCAGGCAGACTTATAGTTACACTTTAAGTGTACTAACCAAAAGTGTTTATGATAGATATATTTAGATATATATATGTATAAATTATGTAACCCTATTCATATATATTTTCTGTAACCCTCTATGTATATACTGGGTAAAAGTAAAACATGCAACTATATATGCAAGAGCTATAGTTGAATTCAAATGTGTTTTGTGTGTTGATGCAGAGCTAAGCTCACATTTGGTTTGAATGCTCTAATGGGGAAGACAAAGAACCAAGACGATAAATCTTCGAACCCTGTTTATGACGGTGACTGGGAATCGCTAAACGCCCGTGATTTTATGGTTTACAATCTCAAAAAAGAATACGACATTGACTCGTATGAACTTGGTAATTAACATTAAGTTTTATGTTTAATTGTGGGTGTTGTGTTTATATGTTAATAAATTGATGAGCATTATATTAATTTTCTCTAGGAAATGAGCTATGTGGAGAAGGTGTTTCTGCAAGAATTGAAGCTGAGCAGTATGGGAAAGATTTTCTTATGTTCAGAAAAATTGTGGACGAATTGTACCCAAATGCTAGCACTCGGCCTATAATCTTGGGTCCGGCTGGCTTCTACGAGGAGAAATGGTTCAATAAATTCCTTGAGGTTACAGGACCCGACGTTGTTGATGGAGTAACGCACCATATCTACAATCTTGGTTCAGGTATCTATCTAAAAATCCGATATCCAGGTTCGGCTTTCTGAGATAGTTTTCTGATTGTTTGATCATATACGTAGGTGATGATTGATGTGTTTTTTAGAACTAAGAAACAAGAGGTTCGGCTTTTAGAGAATAGTTTTCTGAATGTTTGATCATATACGTAGGTGATGATGCGGACCTTATCAACAAGATCCAAGATCCTTTTTTCCTCAGCCAGATAGCTCAAACATACAAAGATGTTGCAAACAGTGTCAAATTATTTGCCCCATGGTCAGGGGCATGGGTTGGGGAAGCCGGAGGAGCTTATAACAGCGGTGGCAAAGATGTGTCACACACCTTTGCTGATGGTTTCTGGTCAGAAATCTCTCTCCTTCTATATCTATTGAATGTGTGTGTTTGTTTGTGTGTGTGTGTGTGAACATAAACATGAGGATTGATTTTTGGTGAATTGAACAGGTATTTGGATCAATTGGGCATGACCTCAACTTTAGACCATAAGGTTTATTGCAGACAAGCCCTTATTGGAGGAAACTATGCTCTCCTAAACACTACAACTTTCATTCCTAATCCAGATTATTATGGGTAAATTTATATGTTTTAAGTACATTAATCCAATAAAGCTAATCAATCATCTAAATGTGTTTTATTTATTTATGTGTTTAAATGTGCTTTTACAGTGCTCTTTTGTGGCATCGCCTAATGGGTAGCAAAGTACTTTCTACAAGTCACGATGGTTCTGCATATTTGCGTGCTTATTCGCATTGTACAAAGAGTGGTGTAAGCTACTTCTTTCAAATTCAAAGTTATTATTTATTTGATATAACTTATTAGAGTTTGTTAATCGGATTCAATTTTTTTTTTTTTTTTTTGGGGGTTTCAGGAGGATATTACTATACTACTAATCAACTTGTCAAACTCCACCACATTTGAAGTTTCGGTCTTGAATGACATGAACTTGAACTTGTTCGCTGAGAAGAAGGACTATGTACCACAACAGCAAAGAGAAGAGTACCATTTGACCCCGGAAGGGGGTGACATTCAGAGTGATGTGTTGCTGCTAAATGGGACACCATTGAAGCTCACCAATGATTCGGACATCCCAAAGATGGGTCCGCAGCTTGCGGATCCTACCACTCCTATCCGAGTTTCACCGGATTCTTTTGTCTATGCGACTTTGAAAGGCTTTCAGGCCCCTGCCTGTGCTAAATAAAGTATATATGTTTATTTTTCTTTTTCTTTTTTCTATTATGTTTTTTTTTTATTATTGGTAGTTAAGAAGTTTTTGTTTGTGTAGTTGAAGTTCTAGTAGACATTTTAATCAATGAGATTATCTTTCTTTATTTCATGTTCCTCTTTCTTTTTCCCTCCCTTTTCTTTTCTTCACTTTTTTTTCTCCCTCTCAACAATCTTGCCCCAATAACAATTGCCTAGAACACAATTTCTGGATGAGCTGTGTATTATGTTTTTGTCCTCTTCATTATTTTACATGATTTTTGGATTCCTAACAATAAGTTAACAATGGTTAGGGTCGTTAAAAATTTTGTTATATATATAACTATATATTTTTTTAAACAAGTTTCTACCTTAAATTTTGTTCAGAATTGTAGTTGTCAAAATTATGGATGAACTGAATTTTGAAAGGGAGACATTTCCCTATCAACATCCCTAACGCTGAGGCACAAGAAGATTTTCATTAAGTCTATAGTCTCCTAATTTGATTGATTATTTTCAAGTCCCCCCTAATTTGATTGATTTTTTTCAAGTCCCTAATTTTGACTCCTATTTTGAAGCACACTAAAATAGTTAGCTATGCAAAAACAATAAAATTAAATTATTAAATATGCCTTGCTGACACGGGTACTTCAACTACTAAGGCATGCGTTGAGCAAAATAAAGTAAAACCGGTTTACAAGTTTTGCTTACCATAACAGATTCTCGAAGGAAAAGAGTTGTATCCATATTTCAAACAGCAGAAAAGCTCAGCACAAGAAAGAGATTCTACTCCACTTTCTATAAACTTTCGAGTGAAGAAACCTGCAAAAAGGAAAACACAAAGGACTGGAGAAAGTACAACATGAAAAACCAAGCATGAGTTGAAAGAAAAGAACACATTCCTTGCATGCAGATTAAGCACATTTTCTCACCTTTGCTTCACCCTCCTACCCTATCCACACCCTTTCACCAATCTCAACGAATTTTCCGTCTTCCAACACTTCTCCTTCAAATATGCAACGAATCGTTCCTGCAAAACAATAAATTTCAGAGCAGATGTGGTATTGAAGAATATGGATAGTTTAATCAACAATATAGATAGTTTAATCAAGCAAGTGAGGTAATTATACCATTCTTTGAGAATTCATGATGTTCATCCACACAAGCACAATAATCCGTAGACACATATTACACACATTATGTGACAAAAAAAGGGCATGCATCATTCTAATTCAGCAGTGATTTCAACAGGTTTTTGGCACTACAACAAATTATTTATTTATTTATTTCCTTTGCTATTGAATATTTCTTACTTAAAACTGCTAATTGGCAACTATTTCCCGAATTTCTATTACTCTGTAAACTCAGTGCTTCTAATTCAATGCCCCAATACCATCTAAACTACCAATTGAATATTAAAGCCATTAAAGAATCTAATAAATTTTCGGACCACATAACAAAACTGATTGTATGAGGAAGTATAACTAGGAAATTACAGATTCGTTTTTTTTTTTTTTTGGTGTAAATATATATGTGCCTATAAATTAACATACAAAAATTTGTATTCATTGTTGATTTCAATTTATGCTCCCTAAGATTTGGTTTTCAATGACTATTTGACCCCTATCTGTTAGGGTGAGATTTTCTGGTGTAGAACCGGAAAACAAAGAAGAGATTGGCACCATCAGAGATCAAAAGGCACCATCCCAGAAATCTCAATCCTTCAAAGGAGGTACACCTACATTTTTCACAATTTCCCCTAAATTTCACTGCTCGAGAAAAGGGGAGAAAATATAGAAGAAAATCTGTTAATTATTCTCCTATACTTTTCATATTGCATAAATTTTTAACATATAATAGACACCTTAGTCATCCATTTGTCACATGGATCTATTCATCCATGGTACATAAAATTTTATAGATGGCATAACGAAAACAAAACCTGATGATTTTGCAGAGAAGAAAAAATCGCAAAACTGGTTCCGGAGACAATTTTCAGCGCTAATGAGTCAGAGTGATGATTTTGGCGATGATGATGATTTCCCAACAGCAGTTGCAGCAGCTGCATTTGCCATCACATCACTTGAAGAATCAAGCATCCGGGATCAAAAAAAGGCGAGCGAGGGCCCTGGTACCTCTCTGAGCAAGACCAAGAGTAAAACAGAAGATAAAACAACTCGCATACAAGAATCTGGTAAGAGGAACAATTTTGAAGATAATTCTATACCATATATATATATATGTATGTATGATGTTCTGTTATAGTTTCAATGAAAAATTGGATATACCAGACAAGAGGGCACCAATAAGTGATGACACAAATGCAAAGAAGCCCGAAAAGCTTGCTGGTCCTGCCCCATCTATCAAAAGGACTCCAACTTTGGCAGAGCAACGTAGCAGCAATGCCGGTACAGGACCGGGAAGTTCAGCTCCAAAACCTGATATTCCATCCACCAAACAATCTGCATTCCCATCAACTGAAGTCAGAAGACAGAATTCAACAAGACCTGGAATAGGGGAAAGTAAAGCAGATGCTTGGGAGAAAGCTCAACTAGATACTATCAAAGAAAGGTACTTTTTTGTTTCATGAGAGATTTTTGAGTAATATCGAAAAAGACTTTATCAAACTACTTTAAAAAAGACCACATGAATCCTACTCCATTGAAATTAACCAAGCGCCATTCTTTTTGTTAAATCCTTTGCAATGTCCTTTTGATACCTTCAACTTGAATTCATAAATTAGGGCACCAGAAACCCTAATTTTAAGCCCAGTTTGGACTCGATTCCACCACGGTGGGAATGCTTTGAAATTTTGGAAAATGATGAAACTCCACTTTTGGGGTGGATTTGGAATCTTTGGAACTCCTTGACCTCAACAATCAAATAGTGGAATATTTTTTTTTTTTTAATTTTAAAACTAAAAGTAAAATCTTGCTTCTATTTTCCTAATACTATAAATCAGAAATGGATTTTGTTTACCCACTAATGAACAAGTTTCAATTTTCAGGTTTGATAAATTGGATACCAAAATTGTCATCTGGGAGAACAAAAAGAAGACGAAAGCCAAACAAAAATTGGATAAAACAGAGGTTCTGTTTCTTTTTAACCCTTTTATCTAAAACACTCCAATGATGATGCTATGTTTCGGAGCACCAAATGAACGGCTTGGATTTGGAATCGTAAGGAATTTAGTTACAACGTTGAACTAAATTTTCTCCGATTTAATCCAATGCACTCATTTGGTGCTATCAAACAGTAACGCAATCATTTAAAACTGAAACCTAGTATTAAACTGCAGAGAAAATTGGAGCTGAGAAGAGCAAAAGCCATGAAACATTACCGCAGTGAAATGGAAAGGGTTGATCAGATTGCCGGAGGAGCAAGAACTCAGGCAGAGAAAAATCAAAGAGACGAGGAGCTTAAGGTGAGAGAGAAGGCAAATAAAATCAGATCAATTGGGAAAGTTCCAGCAACATGTTTCTACTTCTAACTCTCACCAATAACCAAGTTTCAAATTGTAAAATCACACAGATGTGGGTTATTTATATATTTGTATGTTATTCCTACATGAACCAAGTTTGACAATGAGTTTGGCCGCAGGATTTAATTAAGGATATATATATATATATAATAGTGTTCATGACTTAAAAAATTAATATTTTCAGTGATTATGGAGTGTCAGATTGAAGAGAAATTATTACAGTCAATCATTAATTAATATGTAAATATATATGTCAATTTTGTGTGGTTCTTCTTAATATTTTGCTTGAGGGTTAATTACTGCTTAATAATTATTGGGACTATTATACAATTTCTCCAAATTGTGTGGCATGTGTTGTGTTTTACTGGTGGCCCTGGTGGGACATTACCAATTCGCAATACCAATGAAATTATTACATAAAGGGCGGAACACCAAGTCAACGTCAACCGGCGTGCGGAACAAAGTCCATGAAGCATTATTATTTTTTATTTTTTTATTTTTAATAATAATAGTGTTCACAAATATTCTGGTGAGCTGTTTGACCAAAAAAAAAAAAAGAAAAAAAATTTAAAAACTTATTTATATAGTCTACAGTTTTATCACTTTGTAGGGGTGAACAAATAATCCGTCAATCCCTCAATCCGGTTCGAACCGATCCGATCCGATCCGATCCGTGTGGTTCGGTTCGATTTTTAGATTTCATGGTTCGGTGATGGTTTAAAAAATCTACAATCCGGTATCCGCGATTCTGTTAACGGATTGGGTTTTGAAAAATCCGATCCGAATCGAACCGTTGTCAATCCAAACCGTTAGACAAACCGAACCAAACCGAACCGTTAATATATTAATATTATATATATATATACATACAATATAATAGTATATTTTATTTCTCATTTTTCTTTTTTTTTTCTCTTTATTCATTTTTCTTTTTACCTAACCTAACCCTAACTCCGCCTCTTCATTACGATATTTCCCCAATCTCATTTCAGCCACGCCTCTCCCTCACTAACTCAGCCTCTTCTCTTCACCCTCTTCGGTCTTCTCCTCTCGCCTTTGTGCTCTTCGCCTCTCCCAATCTTGCCTCTCAATCCAACAGTTCTCAACTATCATTTACCAGATTCAAAGCAACGGCAACCTCTTCAACTGGATTTACCTCTTTTCCGGTGAGTTCATAAGATTTTTGAACGGATCTTCTTATTCTCCTCTTCTCTGAAATCTTGCAAATCTCCATCACTCATGAGGTACACAATCTCGCAAACCCTAGAACTAGAAATTACTAGAAGCAGAGGAAAGGGTTTTGCAGATAAAAAAATGAAGACTCTCTGATACATATTTTATGTATTTTTCTTATTTCTCCTTAATCTTTTCAGCTGATAAAGGTTTGGATTTTTTGCTTATTTATTTTTTCAATATTGTAATTTGTTGTAATCTGATTTGAGTTCTGTGATTCAAATAAATGAGCTTTCATTGTGTATCTGTTTTATATGTATATTTGTTGTAATTTGCAGTGGATGGGAAGGACAAAATGGAAAAAATGTTTGGGATTTGTTTCTGAACTGAAATGTGATGACCGTTCATTTACTTCTATTGCATGTTCGAATTGGTGTGTATGACCAATTTTTATGTTATTTTGTGTTTTGTTCAAGCGTTGTGTGACTGTTTTTGATAAGCTCAATCCGTAAAATCGAACCGGACCAATCCGTTATTCACGGATCGGTTTGGTTCGGATTGAGAGTTACCGTGAATCGATTCGGTTTTAAATTTAGCCAGTGAGGGACCGGATTGATTTGAATTTTATCCCAAACCGATCCGAACCTCTATCACTTTGATGCTGAGACCCATATTTTAGCGTATCTACTGCATGATCATTGCTTCATTTGTATAAAAAATAAATAAACAAAAGGGAAAATTACATATAAATGAAGTTAAAGTTCCATATTTACTTAAAGGATGAGTCAAAGTTCCATATTTCTCTAAAATGGATTGCTGAGGTGGCACATGGTTTTTTACTATTTAGAAATTGTGATGCCTAAAATACCCTTCCGCAAAGGTACTACTTTTTATTCGAAGGTAACTACTTTTTTGAACTGAAGGTACTACTTTTTGGCGTCTAGGTACCATGTTTTTTAAACACTCGTGAAGGTACTACTTTTTCTCCGAATGTATTACTTTTTTGAACTGAAGGTACTACTTTTTTGAACTGAAGGTACTACTTTTTTATTAGGGAAGGGCATTTTAGGCACCACAATTTTTTAAACAGTAAAAAATCATGTGCCACCTCAGCAATCCATTTTAGAAAAATATGAAACTTTGACTCAGTCTCTAAGTAAATATGAAACTTTGACTCCATTTATATGTAATTTTCCCTAAACAAAAATGAAAACTACAAGTTTACCTATTTTTTTTCCTCTTTTTTTGTCACGGAAAATAAAAATAAATACTAAAAACACCATACATTCCAGTATATATAAGATTCAACAATCCCACATACGTTACAATATTAGGAGAAGATTACATAATGTCCACATTTGACAGATTTGTCAAATTATTTACAATCTAAACTGGTAATTTAAACAACAACAACACATATATATTTGGGGTTTTGGATAAGGCACACAAAGATATCCCAAAAGTGGGACCCCCAATTATTTCTTCAAGAAACCTTGAGCCATCTTGAGGTAGTCTCCATACCCACCTCCAGTTTTGCCCTCACCACCGGAATGTGAGGACGAATGGCTGGTTGTGGTGGTGGTAGTGGTGGTCGAGTGGCCATGACCACCGGTGGTGGTGGTGGTGGAGGTATGGGAGTACTTCTCGAGATAATCTTCAGCCTTGTCGATGTACTTGCCGTAGCCCTTCTCGTCCAGCTTCCCGTAGTGATTGGCGGCGTTGAGGAGGTTGGCGGTGGCTCCGGCGACCTTGGCCTTGTCCACCTCGCTGGAATCCTTTCCGAGGCTGGATTTCGCCGCGTCCGCCACTATCTTGGCGCTGGACATCAGCTCGGCATTGGTCGGTTGGTGCTGGTGGTGTTTGTCGGGGTGATTTGCGTTGGTTTTGTCACCTTTGTGGAGAGAATGCAGGTCCATGGCTGTTTGGTTGGAAAGAAAATTGGGAGGAAAATGGAGATGGATTGAAGAAGATATCGGATGGGTTTGCTGAGGATGACATATTTAAGTCGGGTAATGGTGGAAAATTTTGGTGGTTAGATTTCCAGTTTTGCCCTCAGATTGAGACGCTTCGTTTTCTGTGTAGAAAGCGTGTTGGGTTACTCGCCCAAGGTCTTCGAGGACAAATCACATGTTGGTAGTTCGATATCGGTCGGCCACAGACGCATTGTTTGGCTTGGCATTGGCCAACTGTCCTCTACAATTATTGCCGCTTACTATATATGCATATATATATCTATATGTACACATTGGAATAAAAATCATGTGGGATGTTATAAAATAGAAATCAATCACATTTTGAGATAAAAATAGCTCCAAAATTATGCTATGTTTGGAAATTGGAAGCACTAAATTGTTGATTGGTACTTGAAATTAAAAGAAATTTAATTAAAATTTTAAATAATTTTTTTTTAATTTCAAATTTAAAACGTTGAATTGGTGTTTTTAATTGTAATATAAAAGTAAATAGAGAAAAAAAAAATATTAAAATGAGATGTAAAACTACGTATATTCTATTAAAAACACAATTTTATCCCTTTGAAAACTCAAGATATCGAATAAAAATTATGAAGAAAGAAAATTCACTACAAACTAAAAGCTTTGAAGGTCAAAACAATGAGGTATGTTTAAGGTTTTTGACAGTTGAGAGTATAAATAGAACCCATTTAAGAGTGTTGTTAAAGCACTTAAAAGTATTTTTATTTATTAAAAGAATTAGATGTGTTTGAAAAAAAAAAAACACTTTTAAATGGTAGAGATTTAAAGACATTTGTATCCCTTTCTTTATAAAATTTTACTAATATTTTAAATAATATTATTATCAAACAAATTTAAAAGTATTTTAATTATTAAAAAATACTTTATACAATGCATTATCAAACACTATAATGCTTTTTAGAATTTTATATGTCAACTCAATTCACAAAATCAGCATATTCATTACAAGATCAACACCAAACAAGCTTCTACAATTAAAATAGACGTGACTTTTAAAATTTAGGATAAAGTACAACCACACCCCCTGAGGTTTGGCAAAAGAACACTTAGATAAAACTTACTTATTTTTTGAACAAAGACACCCCCTGAAAGTAAAAAAATGGACAAAGACATCCCTTTACATGAAAAATTGACCAAATTATCCTTTGACCGTTTATGAGACTTTTTTAACTTTACAATTTAATAAATTGGACCAATCTACCCTTATAAACAATTTATGAATAAAAAAAAAAAGTAACAACAAAAAAAAAAAAAAACAACAACAACTTTATATTGTTCACTTTTTTTTTTTTTTTTTTTGTTATTTACTTTATAAATGTCCCAACTTCTTAAAAATGTAGACATCTAAAATGATTTTTTGATCCAATACATATATTTCAAATAAATTATATTTTGTTATTACTTCTTTTCTTTTTCTTTTTTTTTTTTTAAATTAAGATGCTTAATTATTTCATCTAAAAAAATTAAACCAATCTCTTTTCCTTGAAAATAAAAAAATATGGTACCAGTATAACTTTATGCATTTTAAATTATATATAAAATATTATGCACTTCCCAACATAAAAGGGAAAAATAATAATAATAAAACAAAGGGAAAGAAAAGAAAAAAAAAAAAAAACAAAGGCATGTATAAAGTTAAGATGCATAAAGTTATACTCGTACCTATTTTCTTTTATATTGGGAAATGCATAATATTTAATATATAATTTAAGATTAATAAAGTTATACTGGTACCATATTTTTTATTTTTAAGGAAAAGAGATTAGTTTAATTTTTTTAGATGAAAGAATTAAGCATCTTAATTTAAAAAAAAAAAAAAAAAAGAAAAGAAGTAATAACAAAATTTAATTTATTTGAAATATATGTATTGAATCAAAAAATCATTTTAAACGTCTACATTTTTTAAAAGTTGAGACATTTATAAAGTAAATAACAAAAAAAGAAAAAAAGGGAACAATATAAAGTTTTTTTTAACTTTTTTTTAATACATAAATTATTCATGATGATAGATTGGTTCAATTTATTAAATTGCAAAGTTAAAAAAGTCTCTTAAACGGTCAAAGGATAATTTGGTCAAATTTTCATGTAAAGGGGTGTCTTTGTCCATTTTTGAACCTTCGAGGGGTATCTTTGTCCAAAAAACAGGTAAGTTTCCTCTTAATATCCTTTTGCCAAACCTCAAAGGGTGTGGCTGTACTTTACCCTAAAATTTAATAACCAATACAACTTTTCAAAAATTATTCGTGTCTTTTGGGAATTCAAGAATAGACATAATATTCACATAATTAATGAAAGTAATTTTTTTTTAAAAATAAATCTTAGGTGTTAAGTACTTAAAATTTGTGCTAAAAAAAATTATTAAAAATTTTAAGAGTTAAATTTAAGTGTTGAAGTTTAAAGTTTTAGTTGTAAATTGAAAATCCTTTTGATATTTATTTGAAATTCAAGTGCTTTAGATAAGTAAAGTCTGGTTAATTTAAAATTTTATTACATTTTAAGTGAAACTTATTCTTTTACATTTAAATTGCATATCAAACATAATTAAATATTCATTTAATTTGTGCATAATTGAGTACTCAATTGAATTATAAAACAACTATTGCATTTCTTAAAAGTACTTTCATATTAGTTTTGTTTTTTTTCACTACTTTCATATTAGTTGATGTATTCCAAATTAAATAAAAGGAAATGTATTTATACTCCCCATTTCCAATTTTCAATTCACTAATACTACTTCATTCGATTTTTTTGAAAAAAAGAAATAATAAATCTTTTCTCAAGCTTGGAGTGCAAAGTACTTCAGAATAATTGTAAACTACGGATATTAAAATTTTAGAATGAACAAATATATTGAGAGATTCAAAAATATATGTCCTTTATTATTATTATTATTATTGTTTATTTTTTTTGTGGATAGGGGAATTATACCTCAAAGGGCTGAATATGTTAAAAGTCAACTATATCATATTCATTGAGACTTGTCAATTTCATATATATTTTTGTATTGACAAAAATTCACTTTTCAATTTGAACTTCCATTGCCTCACTAGAATTATCCATGCTCAAATGTCAATTCCGCAAAATTATACTAGTATTAATGTCAATTCTTAAAATTTTATAAAAAATAAAAAATAAAAAATAAAAAATAAAAAATAAAAAAGGAAAATCGAGTGTGCCCTGAGAAGTAGTAGAACGGAACCAGCCAGAACCCTCGCGACCCAAAACCCTAGCTCTGTAGGCGTCCGTACATCCCTGGCAATGGAAGTCATGGAGATCGATACTCCGAACCCACAAGTGAAAGACGAAGACCTCTTCAAAGCGGCTGAGTCTGGTGATTCTTCGATTTTCAAGTCTCTCTCGGAAGAACAGCTTCTCAAAGCTCTCTCTCTCAGGAACGAGGACGCTCGTTCTCTTCTTCACGTCGCCACTTCTTCAGCTCACCCCGAGGTCTGTTCTTCCCCCTTTTTCTTCTCCCCTTTGTTTGTTTACCGAGAAAATTCTGGAAGCAAAAAAAAGTGAAGAGAACATTTTGAATTCTAATAATTTTCAAACGTGAAAGAAATTGACGCAACTGGGTCAGGTTTTATCAATTGAATGAAATTTCCTTAGTGACCAAGTTGAGCATTAGGCTTTGGTGTTGGTTTGAGCTGGATAAAGAACACACAATGCAGATGATGCATTTGCTCTGTTGGGATTCATGTTCTAGGGTTTTCTTCATTACTTTTTTCATTTCCTGTATATGTTGGCTCTGGCATTATTAGAAAATGTGATAAATCCGATTCTTTTTTAGTAGTTAATATCAGCTTTTCTTATTGGGGGCAGTTTTTGAATTGGGTGTTTAAGAGCGTTGTATATACATGAATGAATCAGGTGGTGAAGATATTATCAGCTGTTGACCCGTCAGTTAGTGGTATAAACAGCGCAGATGAAGAAGGTTGGGTGCCATTGCATTCTGCTGCTAGTAGTGGGAATGGAGAAATTGTGAAGATTTTGGTCGAAAGAGGTGAGCAATTTCATAGATTTGTGCTCAGTCTATTGGAAATTACCATTCTTGGTTGAAGTTCACTTTTCATTGGCTGGTTTCTGGAATAACTCCAAACCTAAGAATGGCATTAGGTACAACCAACTTTTATATTTTTTCCTGAGAAAAAATAGATATGCACAATAAGGAGAAAAAATAAAGAAATAAAATAATGCGTAAATGAGCATCAAATGATTCTTCTCTATAAACTATCCATTGCCTTAAACTTCTATAAAGTAAACATGACTGATTTTTGCAGAGCTGTTGCTTTGATGCATATGGAAAACTATGTAACAACACAGATATGCATACAGGTTTGCATCGAGTTACATTTTGAATCGGGAAGAGGTTGCTTTTGAGTGAAATTTATCTCATGGAGATATAGAGCTACTTTGCTGGGGGTTTGACAAGGAACTGATTTACTTTACATGGTATGATCAAAGTGCCAAGTTCAGCATCAGTCCCAAATTTCATTATAGAAAATTGGCAAATATTAAACTTATTAATTGACAGGGCATTCTTGACTGTGCCATCAAATTGGATATTAGAGTTGTTAATTGGACGTATTAGCCAATATCCACATTGGCATGCATTCAAAATAATTTTTTTATATATTTATTTAGGAAAATATAAATAATGGTTTTTGGGATTTTATGTTTCTGCAATAATTTATGGTAGCTACTCAGAATTTACTCATTGGTTATATAGTAGACAAAATAACATAATGTCGTTATCCATCATCTGATTTGTAGCTTTTCGCAGTAAACTAAAATTAAAAAGGTACTAATGAACAGGAGCTGATATTAATTTGAAAAATGATGGTGGTCGCACTGCTCTTCACTATGCTGCTAGCAAGGGTTGGTTGAATGTAGCTGAAATTCTGCTTTCACATGGTGCAAAGCTTAATCTGAAGGACAAGGTATGTAACCTCGCACCTGATATCTTTTACTCATTTGAGAGCTTATTTATTTACTTTACTGGACATGTTTTTTGCTGATAGCACAATCTGTGCATCTTCTCTTCTATCAATGATTGATGGACATTCATTTTCAATCAGGTTGGTTGCACCCCATTGCATCGCGCAGCTAGCACTGGAAACTCAGAGTTGTGTGAACTCTTAATCGAGGAAGGAGCAGAGGTTGATTCTCTTGATAGAGTGGGTCAAACACCTCTAATGAGTGCTGTGATATGCCAAAACAAAGAGGTAAAATTTTCTGGACTTCTCAATAAAGAACTAGCAAAGATACCTACTGGATATCTATTTTGTTTTTCATTAAACCCATCATATATGGTGTATAGGTTTCATTTCTTTTACTTCTTTTGTCTGGGTTGAACTTTTGTTAAGTTGTCTCATACACTTGTGCTATGACTGTTTTTACCTTTTTTGTGGTTTGGGATCTAAAATTGGGAGTTGGAATAGCTTAGGGAATTCTAAATTCAAATGCTTAGATAACTAGGGATAGAAATTTTAAATTCCTCCATTAGTAAGGTGTCGAAGGGTTGAATCCTTGTTTAGATTTCCCCTTCAGAGTATGTTACTTTGTAAATCCTCACATGTTGAACCATTGTCAACCCATTTCCACCTCAAGCACTGCACCATAACAGTCATGAGCGGAGCACTGGAGATTGTAATGATGGTGACTATAGTGGTATTGCTGACTATGTTGATCACGGCGGTGGTAGAGGCGGTGACAACTGCAGTGGAGGGGTGACAATGTTTGTGGTGGCTGTGGCACTATGTTGTGGTGAGGACAACTTGATGCAGGACAAGAACATATTCAAATAGAAGAAAGCAACTAAGAGTTATGGGCTGGAAATTCAGATAAATAGAGTTATTGTTTAAGAGTCGTTATTAGAGAAGAAGGATTGAAAAAAATAAATAAACCTATTGGAATCACTCCAACAGGGCTAGGTATCACACCTAGAGAAGGCCTCACATCCTTAGAATTTGTGAATCACTCGTAAAGAAATCTTAAAGGATATTTGTGGGGGTTCTTTAATACAATAGTGATACAAGTAGCAAGGGTAATATAGAAAACACAAAATATGAATGATTCAGGCAACATAGAATCCGAGGTGGATTGAGAGAGGTGGAAGCACAGGCAAGCTCAAGAGAGAGTATAAAGATGGTAGTGTAATGATACATTACTGACTCTCTTGATAAAGGTGTATGGAGAAAGAATAAGGGACAGAGCTTTGGAGTTCTCTCTGTTTAGAGGTTGTTTCCTCCTCCTTATGCTCTCTGCAAGGCAGGTCAATTGTCAACTCGACGAACTCTAGACTTTAGCCACCAAACCAAGTACCTCCTCGGATCCTAGATAATCCTAAGTCTTGCTTCCAACTCAGGTCCTCGATCTTCTGTTCGGGTTATATAGATGACTTGGCAAGTGCAACTTACCTTTGACGGTTGACCGTTGACCGTTTGACTTGTGGGCCATTGTTGATGATGTGGGCTAGCCATGTGGACTCGGCTAAATCCATCCTCTATAATATTTTTATTCATTCATTCACTCAGTAATCGGAATTACATAGTATCCTTTTTATAATAACTAATGATCGTTGGATTACCATACAATGGAGGTAATCAAAAGTTGACTCTGGCATAATAAAGTAACAAATAAATTAATTGATGCAATTTAATCTAATTGATACAATTTACCAAAACAATGCAATTACCAAAATTATGCAATTTGACCAAACCCCCTAATTATGTAAGACTCCAAGTGGACCCCTATCATCTAGTATGTGCTAAATTAAGGTTTGAGCTTTAGAACCGTCCTTTAGTGGCAGCAACCTTTTAAAATATATAAAAGGCGTGGCAAGGAAGGTTCTAAGACACTATAGCTATAATAGCAGGCATGTATATGCTTCCACAATTTGCGTTATTATTGTAACTTATCCAAAAAAAAAAAAAAAGCAGGCATTTATCAACCAATCAGTTATGAGAAAATTAATACATTAAATTTATGTTTTTACTCGAAAGCTCCAGTAACTAAATTGATCGTCGGAGAACTCTTGGCAAGCACCACACCAGTGTCGGTCAAAGTTTACCTCTTTGTTGCAGGAAAACGGTGTCGTTCTGGATTGTGCAGAATCTCGCTCCAACAGTTTGCGCCGTCTGTGGGAACATATACTAATTTACCAAAGAAATCAGGATTCTGACGCGATTCGATTTGAATGCGAGGGGCAGACTCAAGCATCGAGCCTTGCACTGGCAAGTGCTTACCCACATCAAGTCTCTGGCAAGGCCTTACCCACATCGAGCCTCGCATTGATAAGGCTCACCCACATCACAAGGCCTCACTTACATCGAGCTTCGCAATGGTAAGGGCTCACCCATATCAAGCTTCTAGCAAGGCTCACCCTTAACGCTCACCTAGATCAAGCCTCTAGCAAAGGGGTCACCCAGATCGAGTCTTGCACTAGTAAGGCTGGTCCCACCAAGACCAGGTAGGTATCTCACCAATATTAAGTAGGTCTTGACCACCACCAGGTAGGTCTGCTACCAAAGCTAGCCAAGTTTCTTATCAAGGTCAGACAGGGTCTCCCACGTAGGCAAGGCAAGGTCTTCCACCAAAGCAAGGCAAGGTCTCCACTAAGGCTAGGCACGTCTCTCACCAAGACCAAGTGAAGCTCGTAAAGGACAAGCTCACAAAGCTTGGGGAATCTTACTCCCTTACTAAAGACAAGCTCACGAAGCTCGGCAAAAAGGGAGCTCACGAAGCTAAAAAAAAACCGATTAACTTATTAAAGGCAAGCTCACAAAACTCGGAGAATTCACTCCCTTATTAAAGGGCGATCTGAGTGAAGCTCGTAAAATATATTCCCTTATCAAAGAGTGAACTGAGTGAAGCTTGTAAAAAAATTCCCCTATTAAAGCTTTCTTATCAAATTTCTTCGACATATCTGAAAAAAGGAGAGATTTTTACTGGTAAAATTAACTGTGTGTAACAAAAGCAAAATTATGTGTCTCCACCAAAAACTCACCAGCAAGGGGTGTACCAAGACCGTAGACAGCTAAAGCCTGAGGCGTCACTAAAGCAAAAAAGTCCTTGACCAGTTGATCTGAGGCGTTCTGTTTCCTGTCAAGATAGTAAGCAGAAAGCTTTGGCCTCGCCCGAATATGTGAAAAAGCCTAGAGAGTTCTGAGGAAAAATATGCATAACAGTAAAATTAAATGCAGGTCAGAGGATAAACTCACCACGAGAATTCGGCCTGCCCATATACGGGGAATGGATCTCCCGCTAAAGGAAAGGTTTTCCTCGGAAGCAAATTCCCAACCTTCACCAGAAACAAAGAAAAACCATTCTTTCCACGCTCTATAATTTTAAAGAATCCCAGTAACGAGAACCTTGGGATCGCTACGAATGGAGAAATACCACCAGTAATCGTTCATTTTCTTGGGAACATCACAGTGGAGGAATTCATCCACAGTCAAGAAACCATTGCCGTAAACACGCCATAAAACTAGACAGCCCATCAGAACTCTCCAGTCATTGCAAGAAAGCTGAGTGGGGGCAAGACCAAGACGGCAAAGTAGTTCTTTCACGAAGCTAGGGAGGGGGAAGCGTAAGCCCAACAAAAAGGCAAATTTGTAAAAACAAACCTCGTCGGCCTTAGGGATACTACAAACCTTTTCGGTCTTGGTTGGACATCGGAGTACAATAGAGTCTGGTATATAGTCAAGAGATCTAATCTTATCTACCTTAGCAGGTGTAAGTGCGGTTTTTATGTCTTGCACCGCTCGGGTGCATTGGTTGGACGAAGAGGATGAGCCGCACTTGTAATCAAAGTCAAACTCATACTCATATTTGGAGCTAAGCTCATCCGAGTCACTAGGCTGGTCTGAGTCACTACCGGCATAACAATCTCTCATATCATATTGTCCTACATTATGTTTATCTAAATCATATTTATCATAGTAGGACATGGTGATACCAGTACAGAGTGGGTTTTTTTTTTTTTTTTTTTTTTTTTTTTTTTTTCTTCTTACTAGAGAAATTCTCAGATAAAGAAATGGACAATCCAAGGCGAAACGAGTAAAATTGGAATGCAGTATCAATTAAAACAACGAAGAAGAAGCTTACTAGTTAAAAAAATCCACGCAGTGAAGGAAAAAGATGAATAATGCTTTCTTGAATTAATACTAAAGGGGGTGAAAGATTTGCATTGACATATACTGATATAAAGCAATTGAAAAGACAAGAAGCGTGCCTCCCAAGAGGAAGAGGAAGATCTAGGAAGCACGGACACTCCAAAATAGGCAAAGAATCCGTGTCCGATACGCGTGTCGGACACGCCAAAAAACGTGTTTGGAATTTTTTATTTTTTTAAAATTTTCGGACACGACGTGGATACGGCACGGACACTCCTCCGACACGCGTCCGACACGCCAGGGGTGTGTGTCCGACACGCGCGTCTTATTTTTAGGGGTCTAAAAGATAATTTTTGAAAGAAAGTTGGGTTAAAGTATAAATATATGAAGTTATTTAATAATTTTTACTTATGTGGTCAGAACATAATAATTTTAAACTTTCAAGGTTAATATGCAATTTTAAACAAAAGAATTAGATATTTAAGGCTACTCATTACACTATTACAAGATGAGATTCAAAGGACTTCTGGTTGCTCTCTCAAAGTGACGAAGCTCTGCAACTTCCTGCTGCCGATCAAATCTACTCCTTCCAGCCTCCAGGTCAGTCTGTCTCTCTTTCTCTCTCTCCTCTTCCTCCTCTTTTCTTCTTCCTCCTTCCTCTTTTCTTTATTCTTCTTCACAAACCCTAGTTTCTTTCTTTTCTTCATCTTTTTTTTTTTTTTTTTTTTTTTGTTTTCCTTTTTCACAAACTCAGATTCTTTCTTTCTTCTTCATCCTGTTTTTTTTTTTTCTTTTTCGTTTTCCTTTTTCAAAACCCTAGATTCTTTCTTTTTCTTCTCTCTCTCCTTTTTTTTGCCCCCCTTTTTCACTAACCCAAGTTTCTTTCTTCTTCTTTGTTTTATTTTTTTTCATTTTTCACAAACCCCAGATTTTTTTCTCTTCTTCTTCTTCTTTTTCTTTTCTTTCTTCTTCTTTTTTTTTTTTTTTCACAAACCCGCCTTTCTTTCTTCTTCTGTGGTGTTTTTCTTTTTTCACAGGCACTAATTTCTTTCCTAATTTCTTTCTTCTTCTTCTTCTTCTCTGTTGTCTTTATTCTTGCTTTAATTTCA